ATTTCATCCTCTCCAAATTCAATGATTTCTTCAAAGATTTTACAAACCAATAAGCTTGAATCTTCATTTAGTAAAAATGATAGTTTATTGTAAAAAACGAAAAAATAAATAAATAAATCCCAACATTAAAATAAAAAATAAAAACAAAAACAATTATGACGGGTACGTTACACTAAAATTAGAAATAATTTCATCTCCGTAATCATTTAAACTTTTTTTTTTCTTAAGATTTGGTTGTAAGTTGAGTAAGTGAAGAGGTTATTTTTTTCAAATTTACTTTTAAAAGACGAACATTTGAAAAATAACGTTAAGAAATGAAAACATTAACAAGCCAACCATAGAATTGAAAGAAAAAAGAATTTAAGTAATAAACAGAACTTTAAGGAAAAACAAAATCGTGGGGTTCCATCTCACCTGGTGGCCCTGCCTTTAGAAACCATCATGACGACTAAGAAGAGAGAAGAAGAAGAACGTAATATTTCCTTCGCACGGTTACAGGGTTTGACGTTTCTATGTGTGAATGTATCCCATTTATATCCATAGGCGACTCAGGGATGCTGAGGAGAAATAGACCGGCGGCGGCGGAAGAGGCAGTTGGGGAGGATGATGAGAGAGACTAAAGTCCTCTTCCCAATGGTCCTTTGCCTACTGCTGGCCACATCGGTTATCCAGTGGTGGCAACGATTTTGCACAAGTATCAAACTTTGTAGAAGAAGCAGGATTAAAAGAATGAAGGAAAGATAAAAAAAAAAACAAAAAAAAAAAACTTAGTGATTCTTAGAAATAAGAAGCATGAGAGGAAGGGTATGATATACTAGGTTGTGGGTTGAGGAGTGATGGCAACAGATGCACATGTGAGACTACATTCCTCATCTTGTGTCTCATTTTACCTAATCTTTTGATTCATATAGTGATGTGAAAAGTGATCTGGAAATACCCCCACCCCCGGGTGAAATGCAAGGAACAGTGTGGCGGGTGCGGGCAGATGAAAAAAAAAAAAAATAGCAGGAAGAGAAGAAGCATGGAGAAAGTGGACAGCTAAAGAGAGTCAGAGGAGGGGGGGTTAAAAAATTTTTACTGAAATCATTACATAGAGATTGGAAAAAAAAAAAAACTTCAAGAGTTACAATCAGAGAGCAAGACATGTAAAAAAAAAATAAATAAATAAAATAAAAAAAACACTCCCTGTCACTACTACACATGCAGTTGCTGCATAGTAAGTGTGCACACATGTGCCCAGTAGCACAAAAAGAAAAAATAAAGACCTAGTTGGGCACTTACTCCACCCAAGGGAAATGTGCTGGATGTCATACTCAGGGGCATGTTGATTTTGCATGTAACTGATTACCAAAACCTGGTATGCTACTATTTGAAGAAAGGAGGGTGACATTTGGGTCTAATGACTAACAAGCCTAATTGGGATGTCTAGTTCAACAATATTATCACCAAGCTATATTATCTAAGCTTAATTCCTTCATCTATTTTCACAACCAGAATGAAATATTTGTTTATATTCTCTCAAACACATTAATAAATCGTTTGTTCATAAAACATATGCACAAAGCTCCCCAAATATTATTATATCTGCACAAAGCTCCCCAAATATTATTATATCTGCACTAAGTTCCCCAAATATTATATATGTGCACAAAGCTCCCCAAATATTATTATATATGCACAAAGCTCCCCAAATATTATTATATATGCACAAAGCTCCCCATATATTATTATTATATATGCACAAAACTACCCATATAATATATAAATAAAAGTAATGATTATTAAATGAAAAAGAACAAAATTTGCCACATGGCTTGCAAAACTACATATCCATGTAGCATTGTAACAGCAACTTTTACCAAATTGTCAGTACTGTGAAGAGGCTGCTGAAAAGGGTTTTTTTTTCAGTCTTCTCAAAATCTGAACAAATACCAGAATTTTGGAAGGAAGGACTTCTTGCCCATGATGAAAGTTTTTCATCACCCCTTTGTACATCATCTCACTATATTCTAGAGTTATCTGATCACAACCATAAATAATTCCTCCAAGGAGATTATATATATATATATATATATATATATATATATATATATATATAAATAAAAAACTGGGAGTGTGCATGCACGTGTATGCATACATTTTGTAGAATCAAATTTCTTAAAAAAAAAAAAAAAAAAAAAAAAAGATACAACATTTTTTTCCATTTAGAAAAATTAAATTTTCCATACAGTAACATTTGAAAAATCAACCCATGTTTCAGTGAGAAAAGTTATAATTCCTAAACCTTGAGAAATTAAACACCTTTTTAGAATCTGTCAAAATAATTTTCCACAAAAATGTAACAAGAAATAAAATTTGGCAGAAATCATTCACTAGATTTCTTTTCTTAAGTTTTATTTTTACTGATCAAAATAATCTTTTAAAAGTTAAAAAAAAAATTTTTAGTTTCAAAATTTTAATTTTTAAGGAGCCTGAAATGTCACAATGAGATTCCTGTGGATGTTCAAAGAATATTCACAGAAGTTATTTTTCTATTTCTCTAAAGCCTTTGTATATTTCTTCCTGGAAATTTTCTTTAAAAATTGATAACCGTGATAATTTTTTTTAAATCACAAAATAAAAAATATAAAAAATTAGCAAAATAAAATATTTAACATACCTTGTAACCTAATTTTAATTTTATGAAACATAAATTGATATTTCTTTTTAAAATGTGGCAGCATTACCTCAAAGAATAATATGAGTGACTAGTGACTCTCAAATAGAATAAAAAATGGAAGAAGTCTATGAAAATCAGTTACATTCTAAGTCTAATAAGTAGATTTTTATCAGAATTCTTTATTTCAATTCTTTGTATTCATAACTGAAAATTCACTTATACTTCACTAGAAAAAAAAAAAAAAAAAAAAAAAAAAAATCACTTTTCCCCAATTTCACATTAACTGTTTTTGTTTTTCAACATTTATCTGCCATTTTTACCTGGCATCTAAAAGTGAAGTTTGATCAAAGGTTAATGAAAAGCTTAAATATTTTAATCTAAACAAAATGTTTAATTTAATAAGATTTAAGCTGAAATAAGATTGATTAAAATAGCTTCAAACCATGCAAAATAAGTTTAATGGACATTCCATAAATTCATAAAACAAAGCAATAAACTATTTGGGAAACTTTCACTGACAGATAAAACAGCAAAATACTGAAACATGTTTCTATCATTTTACAAGGATATAAAGTGATGTTAATTAGAGCAATGAAAAACAGAATGTTATGGTTAGCCATGAGCAGCCACATCCTGAAAAAACACAGCACATAAAAGAGAATGGTAGAGTTTGTAAAGAAATCACTGTAGATTGGCTCTCAGATTCTTACCAACTTAATTAGTCAGAAATGTTAAATATCATTCTGGATCTCAAACAATAAAAAATTTATTCTGATAGAAAGAATCTGTGAATAATCATGGCTTCTTAGGAAATATAGTGGAGTGGTTCCCTGTTGACTTCTCCAGTTTTCAGTTAGGAGTAACCTTTTTCATAGACTTCCTACCACCCAAGGTTTCTACCCTACTATTTAACCTATAGCTGGAGGAAGTAGTGATGCATTCATGCCTTAAACAAGGACATCAGTATGAAAGTAAATGGAATATACTAGGCTGTAATTTGATATCAGTACTATTTTCATGTCAATAGCCATTATATTAACTATATATCACACAGAAATAATGTTTTGATAACATTTGTAAAATAATGACATTTAATATATCATTAATGAAATAGTAAAAATGATGATAATAAAAGTAAATTTAGAGAATATGACTGAAGAAAAGTTTCAACTTGAGAAAAATGTTACATGCATTATGACTAACAGACAGATGTTACTTTTAATATGATAATCTCATCCTTCCATCTCAATCCTAAAGATAATTTACAAAAGCCACAAATGTAATGTACATTTGTAAAATACAGAGTCATTCAATGAATATTCCACATCAAACAAGATGAGGAAAAGGTGCAGCTCAAACATTAGGCAACTTTAGAAAACTGTTCTAATTGGGGAAGGTGTGGGCAGCCATTTGCATGCACAACATAAAATGCCTGAGTAAAAGATGCCAAAGTTTGGATGGCAGTAGTAGCAGAAATCAAAGAAAGAGAAGGGAAAGATTCAGACAGAAGGAAGGAATACCAGTCTAGTTATCAATTGAGAAGACAAGAGGATTATCACCAAAGACTTCTAAGACAAAGCAATACTAAGAAAAGAATTCCAAGTGCATTATTAAGAAGAGTTGAGGATTAAAGTGCAGCCCAAACCTAGTTTTAAGAATAGGTTAAGAGATTTGTATTATCAGGTGATGAAGATTTTACAAGTATATGAATGAAGAAAACTCCAAAGCAGTTCAGAAACTTGTTGATGAGAGCTGTTGCTAGATTTTATATATTGTTTACGTTTGCATAAAGAGTTAATAATGTTTGGAGAGATTGGACAACTGATCTTTTAAGATAAAGAAAGTGGATAAAAGTAATCAGAAAAACTGGAATGATTCCCAAAGTCAATCAATTTTCTGTCTTGGGGAAAAAAAAAAAATAAAAATCATTCATCCCACAATAATTCCAAAGATGTTCAGGTAATGGCAACTTTTTCTAATCATCAAAACCTCAACAGAATTAAAGAAATTAAAAAATAACAAACAAATTGCAGAGAGAAAACTGAGGATAATTTTTATGAAAAGACATTTTTGTTTCTTGGTTTTTGGAGATTTTGTGATTGATTTATTTTTGTAGGCTATTTAAAGCCTGAAAACATTTTTAGCTTCTAAGAATTTTTTTCAAGATAATGATTTACCAATACAAGTTATAATTAACCTATAGCTTGGGAAAGATGAGGTGGATCCATACTTTCCCAATAGTATTTGCATGTAAGTGAACATAAAGCTGGATGTAATTGGAACTTGTCTCTCTGATTTCCAATTCCAAGTTGTTATCAATTACACTAGTCATACATCCAAGCTTCCAGCACCTGGCATTCCCAAGTGGTCACCCATCTCGATACTGACCAGGCTTAGTGTTGCTTAACTTCAGCGATCATATAAGAACTGGTGTTTCAAGTGTAAGCTAAGTTTTATTGAAAACCATAAATCAAGAAACATGGTTTGGTTGATAAGGCAATTTGTTAACCAATACAAAAAAGGAATGTGCCAACCAATTGCTTCAATCATAAAACATTTTCTGCAATGCCTTATTGCTCAGGAAATTAAATAATGCTATCTTTAATAGCATATGCAAAAAAACAATGGGTTTATTAATCTTATATTCTATAATTATAAATAATAGCTCCAAACCTGCCAAGCAGGCAGGATTTGAAGCTAGTTCTTGCAGCCTTTGGCACCAATAAGAGGTCAGGAATTTGAACTTAGTTATTGATTTATACCTTATTTGACTACTTTAGAGAGGGAGAATAATCAAATTAGGTGTGAATCAATAAATATTATTTGACAATCAACATCATCAACTCATTTAATTTAACTCTCCATTAGTACAGTGGGGGGGGGTATTGTCACAGCATTAGGACCATGGGGTTTTCAAACACACCATTTAAAATATTAAGATATGTCATTTAGTTCTTAATTTTTTTTATGTATTGTCTTGAGTTTGCTATAGATAAATAAAAGTGAAAAAAAAGTTTTAATTTTTAAAATTGAAAAATGTTTTTGTTTATTGTATGTGGCTTTAAGGGCAAAATAAGTGATATTGATAGAAAATTACAAGTTATTTACAGAACTAATTACGTAAAAATATATTCTTACTTATTATTGTATAATTAGACTAATTTAAAAAGAAAAAAAATAAAGAGATGACTTCATTACCATTCTAGTACATTTTGAACCCCTAAATGAATAAAACTGCACATAATTCATGAAAATAATGTAACTAAACCCAGAAACTCCTTGTAGCTACTTGACTAATTATGAAAATTTGACTTGCCACTTGCTAAATATTAAGGAGAAATATGCTAAGAAAGTGGTAGACAATTTCTCTCCAGAATCTATCTTACATATCTATAAGTTTACCATTTGTCCATGCTTAAAATATTGCTGCCACATATGGTCCAGTGCCACTTACCTTGAATTCCTTAATAAAATACAAAGAATATATTGTTCATGATCTGGCAGCTTGGCTTCAGTCACTTTCCCCACTAATGTAAGGTTGCCTCCCCATGCCTTTTCTAAAAATTCTTTCATGGTAATTGTTTGGATAAGCTCTTCACTGTGGTATCTAAACCTTTTGAATTTAAGCACGATACTAGATCAGCATCTAGATCTCATCAATTTACAGATGAGATGGCTAGATGTAACCATAAATTCTATGCTAACAGTTTTTTTCTCACACTTCTCACTTGTGAAACTCCCTTCTGGCACCATGCTTTCCCAACAACTTTAATCCACAAAAATTTAAATACAATGTCAATCAATATTATTGTCCTCCTGATTACTCCTTCCTCTTCTTACTCATTATTAATGTTTCTGTTCCTAATATTTCCACACCCTGTAACCCCTTGTGTCTTAGTGGCTTTATTACCTTGCAAGGGGTGAAACTAATTAAAAGAACAAAAGAAACATTCAAACACTCCATAGTACCAATAGAGATTTAAATACTTGTGAGTAAAAAATACCCAACTGACCATAAATTTGTCTCACATTTTATTGTAATAATAAGCATGGGTATAATGTTGAGACCTATGTTTTTGTGACAATTTATATCACCCACATGTTGCATCAGTGGTTATTTTTTGTACTGAAAAGGTAAATACAATGGATCCAAAATAAGGGTCCAGTTTAGTGTTTTACTTACATTGTAAACTGAAACCCATAAAATTTTAAAATGGGTTGGAGCATTCATAAACTGGTATGCTAAAAACACTCTTGGTCCCCATAAGTAACCCCAAAAATTGCTGGCCATAGTTATCTTTGTCTTTAAGTTATACAAAGATAGAAAAAAAAAATTTTTTTTAAATTGCTTATCATAAATTAATAATCCTGTCAATAACACTTGCATTAATTTCTGATCATTGTTAATCTAACTTTTTGATTTTCAAGACAAACAAAACCTGCATGGTTGGGGCCCAAACTCAAATTAAAAATCAATGTTTATTCAATTTTTTTCACCTACTGCTGGAAATATTTGGCTTGTTCACACAGAAATTGAAATTAGCCAGAGAGGTAGTAGAGTAGCAGTAAAGTCTGTGGGCAGCAATAAGAAAATCCCAAACTAAATATACCAGGTTCAAATAGAGTTGTTAATAAAATATTACCAGGATTATGATTTCAAGCACTAACCCTTCCATTAATTATTACCGTATATACTCGAGTATAGTGTAAGTTTTTATGATCAGTTTTTTTTTTATGCCCAAAATAGGGAGCCACACTATACACAGGTAATTATTTTGAAGAGGTTAAATCATGCAGTTTCAGTGACCTGTATCACTATATACAGGTAATTTTTTATGGAGGGGTTAAAATTCATGCATTTTAAGTGACCATAACCTACCTGGTAGGCCTACATTCTCATGATACCTTTGGATAACCTTAACAGTACAGGTAAGCTCCTTTAGCCTGCTTCCCATGGCCTACGTTCTTTCTGTTGCTACATGAACAACAGAACATCATTCAATATGTGTGCCATCTAAAATGTACAGATACCTTATATAAATGAAGAATTAACAGTGTTCTTTTCCTTTCTCCAATTTGTGTCCATCAAGGTATAATTTAAGTCATTCCAAGTAAAACGTTCTCTATACACATATGTAGTTTTTTTTACTTTGCAAGAAACTGAGGTTATTTAAATATGTGCAGTGCTGTGTTACAAGTGTGGCTCTGTGTCACATGTATCATAAGTGGCTGGCTTCAGTGAGTTCCCAATGCATTAAATATAGTATCTAACTACTACAGTATTGTTGTGTTATGTGTACATTATCTTCAGTTAACATGCATAAAAATTTAATCCATCATTTAATAATATAAAGATTTGATGGTCTAGATTGTTCAAATGTTCATCACTATAAGTTAACCAACACCTGCAGGCCAGCAGAGAGCAGCCCTGGCCACCCACCACAGCACACATTTAAATAATCTCACTTTCTTGCAAAATAAAGCAAAAAACAGTTGTGCATAGAGTACTTTTATTTAGAATCACTTGAATTATCATAACCTTAATTAAGTATCTTAACTTGTGGAATATCTTGAATTATATATTGGTAGTCCTCACAAAAAGATTGTCATTGGAAAGGCAATGTAAATATTCGTGAAATGAAGAGGAATGCAAATTTGAGAGGGGGAAAAATCTATTAATTCTTCATTTATATAAGGTATCTGTTGATTTTAAATGGCATAGCGAATAAGGTTTTGCGACAAAAGAGAAGAAACTTAAGTTATATAGGAGGCAGGCATAGGATAAAGGTGCTACTGTAGTCAGCTACAAACAAAAAAAAAGTACAGTATCTAAATCATTGTATCATATTTTACAGTAATTGGTTTTTCTCACTATTTTGGGATAGCTTTGTACAAAAGAGAATGAAGACCATTTATTTGCTATAAAATATGTTCAGGATGATGCCCATTACTGCAATATTAGACTGTGGTAGGCTTACTAGTGTTCCACAGAAAATAGGGTCATATTATACAAGAGCTATATGAAAAAATCAGGTTTTTCATAAAAAAATTCAAGGTTTGCACTGTACATGAAGTAGACTTATACATGAGTATATAGGGTAAATTAAAAGTTTTGATATATTTGTTTCATCAATCGCAACATCATGAATGTTTCAGCTGTTGTACCATTTGTCTTTCTTCAGGTGGCAATTGATTCATGTAACCTTTACTTAATCTATAGCCAAAACATTGTGATAATAACAGTCTAATTAGATGAAACATTGTGATAACATTAATCCAATTATAAATAATGTAAATAATTTTAATTAATAATTGTATCATTGTCCCACAGTGTTATCAGTTTTAAAAATAAAACATCTCATTGCAATTCAGTTTAAAAGTTTGGACAGTCATTTCCAAACAGCATTAAATCAGAAGTTAGTCTGCTGTAAAACATTTTAAGAAAATAAATAAAAAAAGAATGACTAGAAACTACCCCTCAAAACTACAGAATAAAAATAAGACAGAGACCAGGAACTTTCGGTTATCACTGAACACACACATACACGTTTCAGCAGACAATGGCTGAAAACACTGCTGTAACATCTCAGCACAAAACAGAAATGGATCTGTACCCTTTAAATAAATAATTTTGCTGGAGTGTGAAAATTTGAGGAAGTAATTAGCCATTTCTGAAAAGGTTGTGTGCAAAAGTCTACGTTCAAATCCCTTGGAAGCACAAGCAATCTCAGAAGTAATTTGAATGGAAGTATAAAATTAATAGAAATAATTTTCTCCAGGGAATTGTGCTATGTCCTCTGATATGAGAGTTCTTTGGCTAAAAAATAAGAAGTAGTATTTTGAAGATTTTGTAAGCCAAATGCTATCTAAAAAGTCAAATGAAAAATCTGTTTGGTTAGGTTTTATTTGTGCTAAAGTTTTACTTTTTTCCTTGTGTCATTATTACATTATTAGTTATATATTTAAACATATTCAATTACACAAATTTTTTTGTTACCTAATGTGAGTATTCTGAACAGGATAAAAATTATTGTACACAGATTAACTCAAACAATTGTCCTCATCTTGATTGTTAATATCATAACATTTCAGCCACTGTACATCCTGGCCTTCTTCAGGAGCCTGTTATATTCAGTAACATAACAAGTATTTTAATCAGACCTTTTTATTTCTTCTATGGAAACAGATTTTTATTCTACCGTTCATACTAGGGGATATCTCAATTACTATTTTATTTATTCTTTTTGAAAGAATAAATAAGTATTTTCTTCAAGATTCAACTCACAACTACCAGATTAACTACAACATTTCAACCAATGTCCTACAGGACAATCAATGGTATAATTTTAGAGCCTTATTATCTAAAGAAGGCTGGAAAAATACACTGACTAAAAATTTTGTGACTAACAACCAAAACGAGGACTACAGTTTGAATAAAT